GCATCTCTTCTGTGGATTTGGTTCCTAAAATTCCATATGAAACCATAGGTTCTGGTTCAAGATCATCTCCTGGAATTCTCTCTCCAATGAGCTAGTGAACAGCCCTTAAGCCTAGAGAAGATCCTCTCCCAAGGGCAAGAGTGGGATGGTGGAATTGAGCTAAACTGACCTAGGATCTGAGAAGCAAGGGTTGCAGGAGGAGTTGCAGAACAGTTGTTCTACTGTTTTCCTAGGGTCACTAGATGGTTGTCTTGGGCCTGGAATTTGGGGAGAGGAGACAGTGTGTAAGGAGGTGGAAAGTTTGTTCTTCTCTAAAGTTAGATGGATCCAAGATCTCTCAGTTATGGAAAGAAACTTTGGCAAGATATAGAAGGAAGACTGGCCACCAAACTGATGGCTGCAGCATTGTAGCCATTCAAGGGAGAAGAGCAGCCCAAAGGGAGCGCCAAGGCCAGTGGGTGGAGGGACGAATTCTATCCTTATAGCTGAGACTCTAGGAGAGAGACACCTGGATCTAGACCCAAGGAGAAGAGATGTGTGCAGATATCTTAAAGTTAGGGCAAAATGCTGAGGTTGGGTCATAGGCTGTGCCTTGCTGGCAGAAGCCACAGCCAGATTCCAAAGGCTTATCTGCTGAAGAATGTGCAATTCAAATCCCAATGAAGTGGAGACAGTCATGTCTGCTGGGGTGGGAAGGCCAAGGTGGAAGGACAACTGAGAAAGGGTAATAAATACAGGTGTATATTTTTGCTTGCATGTGTATAGATACCTTCGGAAGGGTACCCAAGAAACTATGGTTGTCACAGAGAAATGGAACTCGGTGTTGGGAGATAGGAAAATTTTATCATACTTGTGCTTGTGGATTTCCCTACTTCAGAATATTATTAGTTGGATAAGCACCAAGCTTCAAATCTATACTGGGAAGCCAAGGATGACATATTGGAGTTTAAGATTTTGAGAAGTCATCACCAAATCTGAGGGGCCTCAGTATCTTGGCTGGTTAGCCCCAGAAGAATTATCATTGATCTCATGTCCTTTAAATGTTTTCCACTTGATCAAGTTTCTCCCATATATTTCTGGATTTCTTACTTGAGTTCTCTCCAATTCTCCCCCTACCCCTTTTTCCTGAGTTATCTGATGGTTTACTCTAAATTTCAATTTTTGGTGATTCTTCAGTGTACATGTCTAATCCCAATAATTATATGAATAGAGAAGAGACACCTCAAAAGAACTAACTCATCATTTATCCCCACAAGCCCTCTTGCTATATTCTCTGTTATTACTCATGCCAGGAACATGGAACCACCTTAGACTCTTCCCTTTGCCTCACCCCACCCACCTAGCATTCAATCCATCACCAATCCTAATGATGTGACTCTTAATTATCTCTAGAATGTATATCCTCGTTCTCACTTCTGGCCACTCTACCACCTCTAAGGACTTGAACAAAAGCGCAAATTTTAATCACCTTTTGCCTGCACCTTTGCAATAATCCCCTAACAAGTCTTTTACCTCCAATATGGACTCCTCCAATCTGACCTGAATGATCCCCCTAAAACACAAATCTGACCAAGTCACTCTTCTATTAAATTCCTTTACTGGCTCTTCCTCACCTATCACAGCTGTTTCAGCCATAAAAATGCCTGGAAAAATGAAATTTCCCTGGGCAGATCTCCCATAGGCAGGCCAAATTTCTTAGGGAATACTCCAGTACAAGCCAAACTGTGTGGTTCATGCTCAATTCTTATTTCACTATGAGTGAAGCAAACCCCTTCCCTCTCATTGATACAGTATATATAGTTTGTAATAAGCCAGTAAATCCTAAAACCCCATCTGAGAACTTCTGACCCACACACTATAGTCCAGACTACAATGAAAGCCTACAAGGACTTTTTAATTGGATCTGAGTCTTCACCTTCATTTCTTGTATTTACTCAGGTTCCTTCAGATGACAAGTACTTTATGTAGTTTTGTTCTTTCATGTCTTTACACATATTATTCTTTCTGTGTGAAGTGTCCTTCTCTGCCTTAAATGTCCTTGTCTGCCTGACAAACTCCTATTTATTCTTTAAAACCCTGACGGGCATCACTTTTAATCACCCTCATGTCAATATGTACAATTTCTATGCCTTGTGTATGTTTCTGTCATTGCATGGGTCATGTGCATTGTAATAACATGTTTACATAGTCTCCATCACCCAAGTTTCTAAGCTCTTTAAGAATAAGACCATGTCACACTCATCATAGTACCCAATGTTCAGTCTTATCCCTGATACATTGTATGTGTGCAGGAACCATGTGTTGAACTGAATTGAATCAATATTTTTCCTTTACTGTATTTCTAATAATGTATTTGGTCATTTGATCGTAATTTAGTTTTACCTTATATACTGACTTATACAGGGTTTTCATTTGATCTAGTGACCTTATAAGTTTTGATAAGTTTCACTGTAAATTATAGTGATCTCTATTTCATGTCTGACCTTATCAAGAAAATCCAAGTCCACTCAAGCTGATTTGGCTCAGTGGATAGAGTGTCGGCCTGGGTTCAATTCGGTCAAGGGCACATACCTCGGTTGCAGGCTTGATCCCTGGCCCTGTTCAAGGCATGTGCAGGAGGCAACCAATCACTGTGTCTCTCACATCGCGATATTTCTGTCTTTCCCTCTCTCTTCCACTCTCTCTAAAAAAACATGTCTTTCTCATATGAATGTTTCTCTCTCTCTGTCTCTCTCCCTCCCCTCCACTATCTCTAAAAATCAATGGAAAAATATCCTCAGATGAAGGTTAACAGAAAGAAGAAAAAAGAAAAGAAAACCCAAGCCCAAACAAGAAGAGCAGGGATATTCCCAATACTGAAATGTGACTAAAGAAAGTTGTGACCTTAGAAAGAATTTAGAAAATGTGTATGGCAGAGTACTAGAATGCATCACTGTTCATTCAACAGTGTCCCAGGTGCAGTATCTGGTGGCCCTAGAGGTTTACTCTCCTATTAAAAAGGTAAACCATCTCCCTCCCACAAGGCACCCAATTCCCACTGTTCTAAATCTTCCTTTTGTGGCTATTTCAGTTTCTCAGGTACATTGATAACGGGATGGGGAGGTTCTGGTATTCCAGTCACTGAAACTGTAAGTACCCCCACAAGCTAACACATGGACATTATGGTTCACACATCCCTCTCTTATGTGTTTGGTTCACAAATATTTGTCCTGCAGAGCAGATTCAACTTGAGAACATTAAGAAAATTAATTCTGACACGCCAGTGTGGATCAGTAGTTGAGGAACCAGGAGGTCACTGATTCAATTCCAGTCAGGGCACATGCCTTGGGTTTCAGGCTTGATCCCCAGTAGGGGGCGTACAGGAAGCAGCTGATCAATGATTCTCATCATTGATGTTTCTATCCCTCTCTCCCTCTCCCTTCCTATCTAAAAATCAATAAAAACATTTTTTAAAGAAATGCTATGCTTTTACTTTTTTAAAAAGAAAATAATTTCATGTCCCTATGGAGCTGTCACTGGGCCACAGTGACCAGATCAAGTTACTTCCCTTCTTAGAAGGAACAGCCAACCACTGCCTTTCACTTCTTTATCACTCCTTTTAAATTGTACTTAACTACTTCTGTATAACACAGTCACAGTTCACAAACCCTTTTCACATTATGTATTTTATCCTCTTGATGTCTAGAGGCAAATATTCTGTTCCCCACTTAACCTACAAGAAAGCCGAGCTCAAAATGGTCAAGTGACTTGTCCAAGGATCCACACATCCTGTAAGCTGTGGCTTATTTTCTTTTGCCTGCCCTTTAAATACCACAGTAAATGAAACTTTGAATCAATCCACCATCTTGCTGTCCACCATCTTTCTATCCACCATCATGCTGTCCAGACTCTCAAGTCAGCCCAGACAGGAAGCAGCTCTGATGAAGGGGTGACTGGAGAGGGAGAGAGCTCACCACGTTGTACTTACATAATACTCTTGTTGATCTATATCCTCTTTTCCCCTTGAGTTGACACTGAAGCTAAGAATATTTTTTCTAATTGGAAACAAGAAAACTGATCCTCAAGAAGCTGACTCTTGCCTGGTCATAAAAGTACTGGGAAGCTGATGTTCATTTTTCCCTTAGAGCAACATCTACTGAATGGCCTGGAGACCAAACAGCAATGTTACAATTGACAGATCATGATCATCATCATCATCACCACCACCACCATTACGGTTGAAATTGTGACTCACTGAGTGCTTACTATGTGCTAATCATCGTAATCAATTCACACAATAATTCCCACAAAGGGGGCTTATTATTCCCATTTTAGAGATAATAAAACTGAGGTGCAAAGAGGGCTATACTTGTACATTTCCACTGACCTAGTAAATGATGGTAAGACCCAAACCCACGCATATGTGAATCCCAATGTCCATGCTTCTGACCACCATGCTATCCCATTGTACTAATTCATATGTACCGTGTATGTGTCCACAAATGATCTTAGATTAAGCAGAGCTTTGGATAGTGGTAGTGGCCTGAAAGAGAAGGAGAATAGATATCCACCTCTCCACTACCACTCTTGGTTCCTGCACTCCCCAGGCCAAAGTCTGTATGTATTCTGCCTGTAGTAGCTCTTGACTCTGCATTACCCACTCCCTTCTTATCACTGACAGTTCCACATGAACAATTACTTTTCCAGGCAGTACTTTCCCCTCTCCTCAGTGCCAACCCCCTCCTTCCCAACCTGCTTGTTCAGTGGCCTTTTTAAGAAAACCTTCTCGGATGAACGAAACCTGCTACCCCAGTCTCTGTTTCTCCATGACATGTCTACCCTCTGGAAAAGAGCTTGTCCAGTAAAATGTTAAATGTTTAAAGTCGCATGTTGCCTGACCAGCCTCCCCTCGTGTGTCCCAACTTCCCCATATGCCGTGTGGATCTAGGGCCTTCTTTCCCTCCCACAAAGTACCCATCCAGGATAGTCAGTGCCAAGAACAAAGGAGTTGGAGATGCAGAGAATTTCAATTCAGTTTATTGCAGCAACACAAGGAAACGGGCGTTTAAGACCTCTCCACAGAAGTCAATCAACTGGCTGACACCGTACATAAAAAACCAAAGCAGCACAGAGCTTGCTGCAAGAGAGAGGATAGAAATGAGCTGTCCAGAGCATGTGCATTCATTGCATGACGGAGAAGCCCTGGGTCTAACCAGCCTGCCCACCTCTGGCTGACTTAGGAGGTGCATTGAAATGTAATGTGTGCAGTGGTGACGGCTGAACTGTTTCTGAGATAAAGCACAAAGGGTCATAGCAGGAACTGAGCTTGTCACTGGTTCTAAAACTTGTTTGGGAAGCAGAGCAGAAAGGAAAGAGCTGGGGAGATAGGCTGAACCAAGGTAACCGGTGGTGTTTTTCTTCAGTGAGGCTGGCCTTGGTCTTGCAAGCAAATTTGGTAGTGATGGAGAGGGAGAGCTAACAGGATAGAGACCACCGCTTTATCGGGTCCCTAGGGAATAGCTGGTAGAACTAAACTTCACGCTGGAACTGCCACCGGAGGTCTTCGTGCCCCCAAAGCTGGATCCCCGGCCTCCGGAGCTCCCGCCTCCGCCACCACCGCTGGAACCCCGGCCACCAGAGCTGCCGCCGCCTCCTCCAGAACCGCCTCTGTGTCCCCCACTACTGCCGCCTCCGCCGTAGCTGCCGCCGTAGCTGCCTCCGCTGCTGCCACCTCCAGAACCATAGCCCCCTCCTCCTCCAGAGCCGTAGCCGCCTCCGGAACCGTAGCTACCGCCGCCTCCTCGGCCACCACCTCCACTGATGCTGGTGTGGCTGGTGCTCACAGCTGCAAGGGGACACTCAGTTACCTTCAATCCCATGGCGCGTTCCCACCCAGCCAAACTCGCACAGGCCCCTGGGTTATACTTACACACGCTCACGTTCGGGGCACACTCTCCAGACATCCTGGAGGAGAAAGAAAAGCCAAGTCCTCATTACCCTCCGGCTCCACAAGCGCCTCCCCAGGCCCTCTCAGCTGACCCAAAGCTCCCCACTGGGGCTCCTCTTGGATCTGAAACGAATCCAATCCTCACTGGCTTCCCACAACTCTCATTTTTCTCACAAACAGGAAGAAATCTCCGTATGAGTTAAACAAGAGCTAATTAGCTAATGCCGGTTGCTCTAAAGGCATTGACTTTGGCCGGATGACAGCTGAGCCCGCCCAGATGAAGAATAAATTGCTCCATCTCAAAGCATTTCTTGCCACACTATAGCCCTCAATGTGACCTCTGGCTCCCAAAGTGAAACCAAGTCTTTCCGCATGGTGTGCCTTTCCTGTCCCCATGCCCAGGACAAGCTGCAGTCACGTGGCGGCATCTTTCAACAGCAGTCAACTTGCCAGGGCGGAAGCACAGAAGAAGCCATACTGCCCAGGGTCCCTTTCTCACCTGCTCTCCTCTCCCTCCAAGAGGGCCCTGTAGGTGGCGATCTCCACGTCCAGGGCCAGCTTGGTGTTCATCAGCTCCTGGTAGTCACGCAGCAGCCGGGCCATGTCCTCCTTGGCCTGGTGCAGGGCATCCTCCAGCTCATTCAGCTTGCCCTGGGCGTCCTTGAGGGCATTCTCGCCACGCTGCTCAGCATCGCTGATGGACTGCTGCAGCCCAGAGATCTGACGAAGGAGAATCCAGCACATTGCACACTCTCTTAACACCTAACCCCACCTTGGCCTTCTTATCTCAAATGGACTCCCCACCCCCTTGAGGCCAGTACTCTGGATCCAACAGAACCACAAGAACTTAAGTCACTTCATGCATTCCCCTGCCTCTAGCTAGCACATCACCATGTTGCTTTCCTTAAAAGCCCTTAAAGGTGGTGCAACAGCCTCTCCTGGCCCTGCGTCAAGGCTTCTCGGCCCCTTGGCATTCTTCTAAATGCCTAGCCTGAAACCTCTTGGCTGCCTTTTCTCTCACCACCTCTTAAATAGAAAGAAGAAGCAAGTACCTGCTTCTTTACACTGTTGATTTCAGCTCTAAGTCTCTGGATTAGCCGATTCAGCTCAGAAATCTCCATCTTAGAAGTTTTCAAATTGTCCCCATGTTGGCCAGCAGTGACCTGGAGCTCTTCATACTAAAGATGATGGGCAAAGTCAATTAATGTGACAGAGCATATACCCTGGCTCATGCACACAAATATTAAGAGGAAACACAGGATAACAAAACAAGACTTTTCAGGAAAACTGGCCAGACATCCAGCCCATTCACCTTCGTCTGGTACAGGGCCTCAGCCTCAGCCTTGCTCCTCTGAGCAATCTCCTCATACTGGTTCTTGACCTCAGCAATGATGCTGCCCAAGTCCAGGCTGCGGTTATTGTCCATGGAGAGGATGACATTGGTGTCACTGATATGAGTCTGCATCTGAGACAGCTCCTTCAAGACATAATAATTCAGTGAGTCTTATAGTGTTAAAACAGAGAACAACTTAGACAGAGGGAGCATTCAAGAGATGGAAAATATCTCTCTATTCTTCTGGATAGTGGTGGGTTCAGGCTTAAAGTTCTCAACTTGGTAAACGTGGTTGAAATTAGAGGGCTTACCATTTGGTAGAGTGCTGTGAAGAAATCAATTTCCTGGCGCAAGTTGTCAACTTTGGCCTGAAGTTCCACCTTGGCCATATAAGCAGCATCTACATCCTAGAGGAGCAATAGGCAGTAAGAAGTCATAGTCTTTCCAGGGCAAATCCCTCTGACTAACTGTGAGGGGATTTTCCAAGCAGAAAAGGTGTTTGGGGTCTGTTCCACACCTTGATATCACAGGTGGATCAGAATCCCTAAATTGCCCCACCCCTGGGAACACAATCACAAAGGAGCTTGCCTGATTTGCTGAGAACTTGCCTCCCCACTTGCTATATGAAGTACTGAGGGCTCTGGAGAAGCAGGGAACCTGACTAAGTCCAGGACCATGATAATGTGGAAGGAAAACTCTACTTCAGATAGTCATCAGGCCCACTACCTGCTTCTCCACATCGTGGCTCCTTTCTGCTTAGTAATTAGAAACCCTGTTCTATTGTTTATTTTAGATGTAATGTCCACCCTACAGAATTTACTGACCTTCTTGATGGTCACAAACTCATTCTCTGCATTTGTCCGTTTGTTGATCTCTTCCTCATATCTGCAAGGAAATCAGAAGTGAGTAGGAGATTCAGAGAAGGAAAGAGGCCTGAAGTTTCGCTTTCTAGACTAAAACTAGCGCTGCTTCTCACTGCTTTTCTGTTACTAGCCTAGGACATTCTGGCCACCCACCTCTTCTGAGCAATAAAACCATTAAAGAATTTCCAGATTCTAAGAAAATGAAGATTTCAGAAAATGCCAAATTGATTTACCTCTCACCTAAGAAAAGACATTGTTACATTCTCTTCATAGTCTTAGCTTGCCGCTTGCTGGAAATATTTAAAGCAAAAGTCAAAAATTGCCCAGCCAGTTTTCCTTACTTGTTCCGGTACTCTTCCACCAGATCTTGCATGGTCTTCAATTCCGAATCCATTCGAGATTGATCGCTCTTCAGTTGGTCCATTCTCTTTCTAAGACTGTTGATGTATGACTCAAAGTAGGGGGTTAGGTCGTGGGTCCTGGTGGAGGTATTTATCTGCTGCAGCAGCTCCCATTTTGTTTGCAGCACCTGGTTCTGCTGCTCCAGGAATCGCACCTAAGAACACAAAACCTCATTACTCACTGATACAGAAGTGGAGGCCTCTGGCCACAGAGCACCAAGGGCTACCACATAGCAAGGCCCAAACCTCACTTAGGAAAGAACTGTGATTCTTATTTTCCTGGCCATGATGAACAGAAAAATTGAAAGAAAAAAATAAAAGATGATCAAGTTAGCATCATCTTCAAAATAAAACCCAACTCACTGTTAATTCAGTGAAGCTTTAATTTCCCTGAGAATGGCAATCATAGTACTGTTTCAGTTGGAACTTTAGGAGAGTAGCTACACAAAATCCAAAAAGCAAAGCACATGTAAAATTATTGCAACTGCCCTTTGAGATAGATACATGACACTTAAGAGAATTGCCTTTCAATTTTTTAAACCAATTACCATAAAAATTGGTTTACATTCCCTGAAAATACACAGTTCAAATGTATATTGGAAAAATCCAAAATTGAATTTCAAATCTATTGTGGATAACTTGCATTGACATTATTATTGATGAATGAGCAAAATGTTTAAAAAACTGGTTTGCATTCTTTTTCAGAGCAGATACTTGGAAACATAAGTACAAAAAAATCTCCACCTTGATATGGCACCAATGTAAAATTCTCAGAGGGCGGACCGCCCCTTCTGGCAGCAAAAGATGCTTGGCACTGACTCCATACCTTCTGCTATAAAAGCCAATGCCTCTGTTTACACTCAACTTCCTTTTTATGGTTTGGAAAACTTTTCCAGGGTTCTCATTTGCACCCTAGAAGGTTGAGTTAGCCCCATTTCTGTTATCTTCATTCAGCATTTGTGAGTCCGAATTCAGCCCAGGAGTTGAATTAAAAAACACTTGAAGGTGATGTCAAATTGACCCACGATTTATGTAGACCCCAGACCCCTTTGTGCAAGAGAGAGTTTAGTCATTAGCATCATTCACAGGCATACTTCTAACACTTTGATAGAAAACAATTCTACAAAACACTGTTTTAGTCATCTAAACACAGAAAATTGAGGCTCAAACCCAAACACGTCTTGGCTGCGCCACTCTCAAATGGACCAGGAGCAGCTCCTCCGGTGCACAAAGCAGGTAAACTCACCTTGTCAATGAAGGAGGCAAATTGGTTGTTGAGTGACTTGATTTGCTCCCTTTCTTGAGACTTTACTTTTTGGATCTCAGGGTCAATCTCCACATGGAGGGGTTGCAGAAGGCTCTGATTGATGGTGACTGGCTGTATGCCACCAGGAGGGCAGACGGGCCCAAAACCACCCCCAAAACTACCTCCACCAAAACCACCTCCACTGCCAAAACCACCACTGCCGAAACCACCCCCAAATCCACCACCCACAAAGCCACCACTGCCATAGCCACCAAAACCACTACGTCCACCTCCTCTAGCCACACTAATGGAGATACTTTTACTGCCACCAAGGTTAACAAGACTTCGACTTCCAAAGCCACCACCAGCGCCTCCTCCACCACATCCTCCAACTGAAAATCTCCCACCACCTCCTCCACTACGGCGCACAGAGCAGCTAGTGCTCCTACGTTGTAAGCTGACTACCCCAGCAGAGCCACAGCTGAAGCCTCCTCCACTCCGGTACCCAGACCTGGAACTAAAGTGGCGACTCATGTTGACTTAAAGAGAGTAGGAGCAAAGTAGAGAAAGGGAAGGAGCTAACACTCCTCTACTCCAAGCACAGAAACTTCCCCTTATATACAGGGGAGTGATTGGGCTTGGTCCTCGAGTCAGCGGGATGCAGTGCTACTCAAGGGTTTGGCTTGCCTGCAGCCATACAAGATTTTTACGAGCCTCAACAATACAATAAACACTACACCGCTCACTCCCAGAATGGCTCTCAAAATTGCTGTGCCTGCAAGATTGCTCATGTGGCAATCATTTTATCAGACAAAATCTTTCTTCACATGCTTGCGACTTTGTGAAAAGAGGACCCTACATCTGTTACCTGGTGCTTCTTGATAGGATTTCATAACCTCCTGTCACAAAAATATGCAAGTTCCCATTCTTGCCTTGCCCTTGTAAGCTACTAAGGCACTCTCCTCGGGCGTGGCAGGTGCAGTTCCCCATTCTTGGTCTCAGAAGGAGCTCTCCAGCCTGGTTCTGAGATCTGCCCTCCAAACTCCAGAACTCACCAAGCTTTATCTCCTCACACCAAGCCCGACTTGAATAAGTGAGCAATCAAAAGAAACTATTTTTATTAAATGTTGGCTTTATAAATGCACTGCATTAATATTAGAGGAAGAGAAGCTGTCATTGAAAAGGATGGGGGGGGGGTGGTGATCTGGAAGGACCAGAAGGGAAAGACATGTCCTTTCTCAGTTTTCCAGTCATTCCTTTTCCTCATAGGCCAGGGCAGGAGACAGAGACACCAGCAACAAAACACAGATGCAAATAGATGGCATGTGCATGCCCATTGAAAAGCACATTAAGCAGTGAGGTAGCAGATAAAAGCTATTTCATACATTTTGTAAAGCAAAGGGGTGGAAGTAGGACTTGACTGGTGGTTCAAGTCTCACACTAGACTATAGGGAGAGATGAATGTAGATCTGAAAGGAGCCTGGAAAGCCTGATCTTAGAAGCCAATATTGTTTCTGGACAACAGTATTGGCAATAATAATAATAATAATAGTTAACATGTATTGAAAACTGACCTCAGGCCAGGCACTGTTCTACATATATGTATTAACTTAATTTTCACAACTTTGAGATAGATGCTGTTATGCTAGCCATTTTTAAAATGGGGAAACAGAGGTTGAATAGCCTGCCCCAAGTTGATGCAGATGGTAAGTGGCATGGCTGGAACATGAACAGGGGATACTGAACTACCACGTGCAGGATCCTAACCAGCGCATTGTATGACAGCACAGCACTGAATTGGAGTTGTGCTCCTCACTTTGTGTAAAATCATATAGTTTGGGAGGCCGTCTCACTGCAGAGAGCTCCAGCAGCAGTAGGACCATTTTATCTCTTTGAATCCTTGGCTCCTGACACATTCACATGCATGGAAAATGTTCTTCAATTTACTCTGAGAAGAGGAGTTTGGAGGAACTAAGTTCATGGGGAGATTTTGCTTCTGTCCAGGTGCAAGGGTGCCCAGCATGCACTACAATGGGCCAAGAAACCCCAGGATCCTTCCTGGAGAGCAGCATTTGATCAACCTTAATAGGTAGTAGTGGCATTGAGAACTGGAAAGGCCCAAACCCCACACAGACTTTCATTCTCATACTTCTTAGAAGCCTGGTGTGCTCCCCACACTTGCATGTAAACACAGAATTGGAGACTCAATGAGGAGAAGTCACTGCTCACCTCAGTTGGCTCTGAGTAACTCTAAGTGGTCCATTGCAGACCTAGAGGGGGTCTCCACTGTGTAATACAAGATATGCAGGGGAGGAGGAGTCTGTGCCATCTCCATGGCACTGTTGTCTGAAACTGCCTTAACACTAACATCCTTGGGCTGCTAAACCAACCCTCTCGATAAAGAATGAGTAATCCAGATCTTGTACTTGACTAGGAACAATGAGACTGGGATGGTCTTGTGTGGTAATGACTCTTGCCTAATAATCTTCTGACAGGCAATCAAGATCCTTTTAGTTCAGCATACTCCCTCATGAGCCATATTACTCTGTGCAACTGATTCCTTCTAGCACTTTGGAGGGGTGTGCATATGTGTTTGTATGCATGTGTATGTGCATATGTGTTTGTATGCATGTGTATGTGCATGTGTGTATTCATCCTTTCACCTCTGCCAGCCAACAGCAGATCTTTGCAGTGATTCGTGCTTCCACAACAGAACTTTGCGATGATTCCACAAATTAAGAAACTAACAGAGAGAAATTAGAGGCTGATGGTCAGGTAATTAATATACAATTTACAGAGCTGAGAAACTTACTCTAGCTGCCACCATGAGGAGGGAGAGAGACAAGGACTAGAAGGAACAAGAAGACATAAAAATCACCATCAGCTTACATTTGCATAGTTCATCTCAGTAAAAACATACACAAACACTATTCTAACAAGAGCCTTGAGAGAACCAGGCAGTCAAGCTGTTTTCACAAAACAGAAAACTGAGGATCAGAGAGATTAAATGACTTGCTTAGGCACTCCAGCTAGGAAAAGACACATCTGGGACTAGCACCTGAGTTTTCTGGTTTCAATTCAAGTGTTCTTCCTGCTAAACTGAAGAAGAGGTTCAAGGACAGGCAAATGGAACTGGTTCCATAAATGAGTGCCCAGAGAACCACAGAATATTCCCATCTGCTGGAACTCAAAGACCTCCGACCATCTAACCTGCCTATCAAAGACGTGAGAAGGCACACTCAAGAAGTCAAAAATGGCTCCAAGTGATACAATCAGTGCCTGGGCATCCTCCAATTTCTGAATTGGACTCCTACTCTCTTTCCACTGCTGACTTTTGAGGCAACCCAGTGAGGCTGGAAACTGACCTACTGGTAGCTAACCAACTTCATCAATCCCTGTGATGTCTCCAGGACTGTGGAGGCTGTGTGGTGATATTAAAGTGGGACATTAGCCCCCGCTGGTTTGGCTCAATGGATAGAGTGTCGGCCTGCAGATTGAAAGGTCTCAGGTTCGATTCTGGTCAAGGGCACATGCCCTAGTTGTGGGCTTGATCCTCAGTGTGGGGCGTGCAGGAGGCAGCTGATCAATGATTCCCTCTCTTTGATGTTTCTATCTCTCTGTCCCTCTCCCTTCCTCTCTGAAATCAATAAAAATATATATAAAAAAAGTTAAGGAAACTGTCAGCAATCAATATATATATATATATATTTAAGTGGGACATTAAATCTAACCACACACTCTCATTCCTGGCTTATTTGTGTACTCCAAATTTATAAAATAAAGGTAAAATGAAAATAAAGATAAAACGAAAAAGAAAAGAGGCACTAATATCCATAAGCACTAACTATGTGCAAGGAGCTATATCTCAGTTAAGCATCATATGAAGTCCATGAGGTGGCAGCCATTAGCCCCATGTTAAAGAAAAGACAACTTGGGTTCTTAAATACTTGCCCAAGTTTCCCCAGGTGGCAACTCACAAACCAAGTTTGTTCAACTCTGAGCACATGTCTAGGTTCAGCCCATGGGCCTCCCCTTGTCATTGGCCTGTTTTACCACCAGCATCACCTACAGATTTCCTGATGACCCACTCACTTGAGTTTTCCACTCCCATGCTTTGCTCAGACTATTCAGTCCTCTTCTTCCCTTTTTCTCTATTCCCCTCCATCTTCCAAGCCTACTTTTTTCTTCTCTGAAAGGTCTTCCAGTTGCCTTGGCAATTTCCTTCACAGTCCTTCCATAGTCTACCTCTGGAGTACCTAAGGTTTCTATTCGTGAACATTTGGGCCTGAATTGATGTTGGGTCCATCAGGCCTTGAGGACAAATGCCTACATCTCCTCTGCTCCACCGGGCAGCAGACAGGCTGGCTCCTCCAGGGAGTTTTTCTTAATTAACACCACTCAACTGCTCCATTTCTTTATCTAAGCTCAATTGCTGCCATATTCCAGTGCATATTGATATATAGACTGGCTCATTTTCATATATATATATTTTTTTAAAGGATCAGCAAACGCACACACACATACATATAACACACACACACATATACATATGTGTGCGTGTGTGTTTGCTAATCCTTTGATTGTTCTATAAGCCTTATAAAAGCAAGACTAAATCCTCCGTGTCTTTGGGTGCCCTCCCAGCACCCCTCTCCTCACAGTCTCCCACACGGTCCCCTGTACCTGAAGGGTACCACCATCAGTTCTGGATAGCAGAGTGCCACAATACCTCCAACCCCAAGGACACACACACACACACACACACCCCAGAACTGATCACAGAGATGAGGATGCCACATACAGGCTATGGCAGGGGCAGGTGTGGTGATGTTTTGAGAGCTTTCTGAGGGATGGGACTGAGAAAAAGAATTGATGAGAAACATGCAATGACAAGCCACCCAGCCCTGCGGGACTCCACCAGGAACGTGGGAGAGGGAAATTTCAGGGGAGGGGGAAAGCAAAGCCTAGGAGGCAGAAAGGAGAATCACAAACAATGGGAAGGCGGGGTGAGATGTTGAAAGCTGGCAGCCAGCAGAGGAGGGGCTGAGGCTTCTTATACAGGAGGGAGAGCTGCAGAACTAGGGGAAGCCTGTTCAGGACAGAGAGCAAAGAAGGAGGTCCCAGGAGTTACCTACAGCATGTGCCGGAGCAAAGTAGGGGCCTGAAAGGAGGAAGGCACAGGTGAGTATGTAGGAAAGGATGGTGCAGGTTATCTAAATTGAGGCATGGAGTCAGCCAGACCAGGTGCCACTCTGGACTGCAAATTTGTAGCTATGCAACTCTAGGTAGATCATTTACCCTCTCTGAGCCTCCTAAGTTTCCTCATCTGTAAAATAAGGACTTAGAGGGAAACTGAAGTGTGGTAAATGATAGACAGAGAGAGGAAGGGGAATTCTCTCTTACCCTTTCATTTGGAGGACCCAAAAGATTACATAACAATCAGGAAAAGCTTTAGAACAAGCCCCTGCTTTACTAGAAACAGTGGAAAGACCCAGAAAGGAAGTTTGGGTTCTTGAAAGGAAGCCATCTTGTGGGAGATATCCTTAGGGAGGGGGCATAATTCTGTACCAGGGAAGCTAGGGGTCCATTGCATACAGAAAGGAATGCTGAGCACACCTGAAGTGGACGGAAGTGAGGCTAGACTAGGAATTACTCCCACTGTGGAATGCCTGCTTTGTAGTGAGGACAATCCCTGAGGTTAAGCACACTGGGACAGGCGTAGCAACCAGGCCACACACTCAGAGACCCCCCCACCCGCCCTTCAGGCCTGGCACTTAGACATTCAGCACCAACCCTCTATGCTCAAGAACCTCCGAACATCTCATGTTCCCAGCTCAGCCTTGTAACAGTGTTGATCGACCCAAAGGCATACAGTTTCCTATACTGAACAGAAAGCTGACAAAACCGGAGCAACAGGTCCCTCAAAACTGTGGGGGTTACACTGTGCTTGAAAAGGAACTGTCAAAGCACATGGCTCATAATTTGAAGATACATTCTGGGCCAGCTTGTCGGTAATTGAGGGTGAGGCAACATTCTTGAGAGACTTCCTTAGACCAAGGATTTTCCCAGCCCAGAAATGCACACCTTGTCCTAGGTCAAACAGAGTTGGAATTGTATTAAGCCAGTGGTTGCTCCTCCTGTTCACCATGTCCCCAGATTGAAATCTATGTAGATGAGAAGCTGGTGGAATTAAATTTAGATTCCCAGAGTGCCCCGCCTGGCCACGGCCTCTCAGAGGGAGGAGCACCTGGCAAACTTTCCCTGGGAGTCTTGCTGCCCTGAGTGCTGTGCTCTTTGCTGCTGCCCCTCTGCTGCTAAATGGATGGATCTGCTTGCTTTTCCCTCTGAGTATCTGCCTTATGGGAATAGCATTGACCAGAAACAGGGGATGAGTGCTCTCTGGTTTCTAGAAGGACCACAAAACCCCCACATGTGGTCTCCCCAGCCCTCTCCCAGAGCCAGGGAGAATTGTAGGAGATCATGCATGTGGGAGCATTTTGTATATAGTAAAGAGCTAGGAAATTGCTCATTGCTCCCAATGAGATTGCTTTTTTTCTAACAGGAATAACGTCGATCCCAGGAAACCTCTTCGGGTGTCTTTAATGCTAGATTCCATTGCTCAGGCTCAGAATATCACATTAAGACTTCTCATTTAGACTCTGAGGTCCTCCTCAATTACTGTTCTTTCCTTGGCCTTCATTTCTCATGCTCCTGCTCTGTGGAATCTCCATTCCAATATTCCTAGAATTCAGTCACATGGTTTCCTCCTTGACCAGGACTAAGATGGGCAAGGCTTTTGAAAAGACAAGTCCATGTTTTCTGGGACAACCCAACTTCTGCACAGAAGGAGAATGGGAAAGATGACCGTGGGTTGGCCTTGTCCTTGTGTTTTTCCCCAGAGCCAATGTGGATTCCCTAATAATATCATACACACAAGTATGATCCAGGGATAATCAAGTCCACACACTGTAATAGTTCGATGGTGCCAGCAAACTTGGGTTCACTTTACAATCCTGGCTAGAGTCTTTGGCCTCTTCATGACTTGATCCTCCTCTGGTATCTGATCTTAATTTTCCCAAATATAAACTAGAAAGTAGAATTCCTTTTTTCTCAGCCTTCATCACATGAATTCTTAGAGAAGCAAAGATGTGAAATACTGCCATACACATATCTCTACCCATCCTTCACTCCTCCCTCAATCTCCTGTCAAATGGTTAACCAACCTGTGCTTGAAATGTGGCCTCTCCCTCTCCCATCTCAGGATAAATACAACAGTGCTTTTATGTTGAGCCAAATCTGCTGCAGTCCCTACCTTGTCCATCTGGGTCATCAGCTGGGGTCAGCCCCTCTTTGCTACAGAAGCTCTTCAAATCTTTGTGTGTGCAATTAGCCATCATATCTCCCCCCCCAAAAACTTCTCTTCTCCGGGATCTTGCATGGTCCTCATGTGGCCAGGCTTCTGATTCCCCATCAGCACCATCTTGGCCACTGTTCTCTGTGTGACTCTTATTTAGCAGTGTTCTTAGAGTGGTCTGACTACAGAAGAGAACAAGTAGGCTCTGCACAATGCTTTCTTCTTTGTCCCCATGCCTATTCCCAACAGCCATCACACCTGTTGGCTCATATGTTGCCACTGTCAGTTGAATACTTTAAATCTTGTTTACACGCACTAGTGTTTATCCCTGTCTTCCTGTCCTTGTCCTCATGCCCTGGGTCTTTGACTTTAAGTGTAGGAATTGCATGGGTCTGCGACCTCTCCTTCCTTTCAGGCGGCCACCTGCCCACTTTTCCCTCTCCCAACCTCTCTCCCCACAGGCCTGCCACCAAGACAGATGAGATGTGGAGAAACTTTTCTGAGAGAATGTAGAGGTGTGTCTGAGAACACAATGTCTTATCAATATGAGTTGCAGTCATATTTGAGTGAATCTCATATCCAAGTTCCATCTGTAATCCTTCAGAGAATGAGAAAGCAGGTCACATCTTTTATGTGGCTTCTTTATATGGACTCAGAAATATCATGTAGGATGAGGTGACAGCTTAACTTGCTCCATTCTTGAATTTCTGCATCCACGCTTCCCTCAGGAGCATCAATGAAAGATGCTCAGCCTCTTATTTCCCCAGCTCAGTTTCTCCTGTGAGGCTGCCTCCTCTGACTCACACACATTCACCTTCTCTTATCTTAGAGTCTCTGAGCAGACTATCTGGAGGGCCCTTCCCTGACCTCCTGCCTACACCTTCCCTGTCCCTGTTTCCCAGCCCTATTCCACTTTCCAGCCCTCCAGGAACCTGTTGGGACTTCCCTTCCACAGCATTGACACCTGCTGCAGGTCCCACTGTTCCTGCTGTGCTGGACACATACTCTGATTTCTCCTCCCTCTGAACCATCCCCTCCTCTGGTTGTAAGCAGCCTTCGGAAACGTGTTCATTCAACATTGCATTCTCAGTGCCTAGACCAGCGGCTGCCACACAGTAAGAGCTAAATAAATGCCTATTGAACAAATGTGTAGCTGACTTTTGAATGATCACTTTAAGGATTAAAAAGATTATGTCTGTAAGGTTTTGCAAGATGATGTGTTACTCGTGCAATAATAAATAATAAAAATAATAAACTTTACTTCCCAAATATGAATAATTTCAGAGGCCTGCAGTAATTAAAGAAGAAATAATTCATCTCCTGACCAAAGAGTAGTTTGAGATCACAGAAAAGTTTATTGTAGAAACACCAGAAATGTCAAACCCTTCAAGGTACAACCTTCAACCAGAAAATGATGATGTCACAGCACTCCCCAAGTGATCCACACTGAGCACATCAGATGCTCCAAGAGAATCATGAGCTTGGACATTGTGTTAGGACTTAGCGAGCAAGTGAAGGTGACTTCAGATCTTAGAAGTAAAGCCACTTTCCCTCTCTCAAGGCCCCTTAGTTGGTCAATACTTTCTCTTTTTTGTCCCTTCACCACATCTCAAGCACCTTATGTTAAGGACCAAGATGAAGAGTCAATTCTCACACAGTGCTCAGTCACAGAGAACAGGAACTTTGCCATCTGGGAAAGAATACTAAGCTACCTTGCAAATAAAGGGCAGCTCGCAGCCTGGTTCAGACTGAACTTCCCAAGACTCAAGTTGTATCCTCAAACTGCTCAAGGCCTGGGCACCTGGACATAGCAAACTGGACTGCATGTGCCCAACCCATTGGACAATTCTCAGGAGGGCTGCTATAGACCAGATTTCAGAAAGGGCCAGGCTTCCAAAGAATGGAGCTGTCAGGAGGGACAGGACAGAACAGAACTTGATTGCTTGTCCATCAACTCCTCCATTCATTGCTCACTACAGTCCTCCCTGTGGACAAAAACTCAGGCTCTCTGATATATTCTCACCTGGGACTATTGGTCCAGGGGACAGTGCTTCTTAAGACAGAGATTCAGAATCAGACCCAGACATGGCATGGGTGTCTGATGCAGGCAGCCAATCCACATTCTCCATCAACATGGTAGTGTGAGGCTACAGACCAAGAAGTAGGAATTGGTCCCTGGCACAGAGGAGCCCCTTACCAAGCTTTGCCTTGTCCTCAGCCACTCATCCAAAGGCCTCATTTTGTGGGTCCCTGAGGGGTAGATTCTTGCCCCCAGAGCAGCCCAGATGAAGGAAAGGGAACCTGGGACTGAGGAACCTGGTGTGCCTGAGGTGGACTCTCCATTGTCAGCCTTGTCCATGTTCTTTACTCCATGGCTAACCTAGGCCCTGGGCATCTAGGGACAGGAACAGGGCCCTCTAGGTGGAGTCTGAGTTGAGAATTTGACTGTCTGTGTTCTGACTGCCAGTTAGTGCCCACCATAGAAAGATCGGCTGTTGGAGTTACCCACCTACTTCCCCATCTAGAGATGATTTTATTGGCAAAACTGCTGAGACCCATCAAGAAAAGGTAAGTAAGTGGGGATCAGAAGGGTGTGAGGAGGGGACAGGAGCTAAGGGTCACAGAAACCTTCGTCCCTACTCCACAATGTGCTTGTGGGAGGTGTTGGTAGAAGTTTGGATGATCTGCACTTTGGAGGAGCCACCACTTCTGTCCCCAAACTTTCTGCCACTTTTGCTGCTCCCTCCGTAGTTTCCTCCACCGCTGGCCCCATAACCACCTCCACTACCCCCTTGGGAGCCCCCTCCAGCACCCCCACGGGAACTGTAGCCCCAGCTGCTGCTGCCACCGCCGCCTCCACCGCTGCTGTAACCTCCAGAGCCTCGACCACCGCCGCCTCCTGCGCCGCTGAGAGACACCTGGCTGCTCTGCACAGCTGTGAGGAGAGGGCAACCCAGACAGGGGTCAGAAAGACTGGGCAGGGAGTCCCCACTTGCAGCCACCCCAGGGCAGCCTCCCACATCCTTCATCGCTGGCAGCATCTGACTTGCAGAAAGATACACTGGATAAAGGTATTCTCATTTTCAAAGTATTCGTCATGCTATAAAGGGAGGTGAGGGTACCTTCTCACTATTGATATACTCTGAAGAGTTCTAAGCTGTGCTGATGATTAGGGATCATAAAAATTAAAGAAGAGCTGAAATAATAATTTATTTCAAAGAATTTCTCCAGGCTTTTCAGTTGTTAGCTCATTTGTGTGGGACTGGAAACTAAAATTCCAGGAAACTAAAGTTCCCTGCTGGGCAACCTGCTGAGCCCTCCTCCCCTTAGCAACAACCAGCCCAGGCCCAGGGCTCTGCTACTTACAGATGCTCACGTGGCTCTGCAGCTCTCCTGACATCCTATAAAAACAAAGCACACATTAGCTGGACCTGCAAAGCCCAAAGGAAGGCATGCAGCAGCCTGGAGACAACAGGAGCAGAGAGGGCCCATGGGGAGAGAGAGCTGTCCCCAAGCCTTGTTATAGGAAAGGTGTGCGCATGGGCAGTGAGGTCAGGGGGCCATTGGGGCCAGAAGGATTTTAAACATTTTCTTGAAGGCTTTTAGCATTGTGGGGTCACCACCTGGCTGCCATGACTTGGCTTGGTTTACAGAAACATTCTGCTTAAGGCAGGAGAATGATGACAATGACCAGCCAAATCATACATCCCCTGTTTCTGCCTTGAATGTTTCTGTTCACCCCGGGCTACCAACCTTTCCAGAAAAGCTGGGATGGTCTTCTCTCCAAATAGTCAGTCCCACTACTCCAGCAGTGCAACCTATGCTTTGGCCCCAAAAGATGGCCCACCTGCTCTCCTCGCACTCCAGCAGCCTGCGGTAGGTGGCTATCTCCACATCCAAGGACAGCTTGGCTCCTAGCAGTGCCTGGTAGTCACGTAGCAGCCGGGCCATGTGCTCCTTCGCCTGCTGCAGGGCCTCCTCCATGCCCTGCAGCTTCTGCGCTGCGTCCTGGAGGGCCTGATCTCCTTTCTCCTCTGCATCCGAAATGAGCGAGCGCATCTGATCATTCTGCTCAGGAGATGGTCACAGAGATGAAGCAAGCAAAGGTTGAATTTCAGAAGCCTCATCAGTAGGGCATCATAGGAAGTGGCATGTCTGGTCAGCCAACCCTGAACTCCCATCTCACCTGCTTCTTGAGGCTGCTGATCTCAGCTTGCAGCCGCTGGATGGTGCGGTTGAGGTCTGCAATCTCCATCCTGCTGTTCTTCAGATCGTCTCCATGTCTTCCCGCTGTCAACTGGAGCTCCTGGTACTGAGGGTCAAAGGCGGCATCACACTCAGCCTGCTGCTTACCATGAGTCCCTCCAGGGGAGAGTGGATCTGCCTTCCCAGCCCCTACCCAAATATGCTCTCCCCTGAAAAAGTTCCCAGATCACACACACACACACACACACACACACACACACACCAAGCCTCCCTCATTCCCACCAGTGTCTGGGCCAGCCCTACATCCCAGACAGGCAATGATAGTTCCTGATACCCTTTTTACCTCCTTTTTCCCACATCTAAGCTTTGCACTGGTCCTTACCCACACTGGAACCCACGTCACTTTTTCTACCCTGCCATATTTCTTCCTACCCTTTTCCAGAATGACTTCCCTAGCAGCCAGGCCCTCATTTCCTCAGGGGCCCTCGGCATGCTCCATGTTTATTTGATTTTCCTCCCTATCTCTTTTTCCATGTCTACATGGTCCCAACAATAGGAACTCTACCCACAGGCCATGACTGTGAAGGAAGCAATGAGGAGGATTGACTCAAGGGAATCTCTACATTCTGATGTTTTCACTGTTGGCTATCTCCCCAGTCTGTTGCTGAAATTCATGCCAGTCAGAATATCTGCCTGCAGGAAGTGGGACAGAGATCAGTGAGATTGGAGTTGGCCACAGGTAATCCATCCATAAAGCGGATTTCAAGTGCCAGTTGTTTAGAATTTAGTGACTAGCCTTTGACCCTTACCTACAGAGTCTTCACCCTCCAGAAAGGCCCAGGTCATGTTTATGTTAAGGAAGTAACCAAAGATGTGCCCAAAGACTTAAATACAGAGATGTTTATCTGAAAGGGAAGGTCTATTCTTAACATGGATACCACACTGCTATTAAAGATGATGTAGAATATGTAATATCACCGAAAGGCATGCAAAGTGATGAGCAAGAGAGAAAAGCACAAAACTATATTTTAAAAGACCTCATTATGAAAAAATAAAATATCATAATGACTGAGAGCATGGGCTGTTATAAAGCATATCTGACTGAGTTTAATTAAGTCCTGTCTCTGCCACTTATCAGCCACAGACTTTAGAGAAATTAGGTAAATCTCCTATTCTATTATATGTAAAATAGGGATAATAAAACCCACACTTCATGGGGTTGTTGTAAGGAATAAATGAAATAACATATACAAAGTACATAGTGCAGTGTCTGGCACACATGAGTTTTCAATAAATATTAGCTACAAAGAACTGGTAGAAAATATACTGACATATTAATAGTGCTAGAGGGAGATGAGTAATCTTTATCTGTAATTTTTAAGTTTTCTATAACAAACATGTTTGACATTAGAAATAAGAGAAAGACAATACAGGTTCCGGGAGGTATGTTTAGTTTTTAGTCCCGAGCCCAGTAGTGGGGCAGCAGGGCTCACCTTGGTCTGATACAGCGCCTCAGCCTCCTCCTTGCTCTTCTGTGCGATCATCTCGTACTGGATCTGCACGGCTTCGATGATGCTGTCCAGATCCAGGGAGCGGTTATTGTCCATGGACACAATGACATTGGTTTCACTGATGTAGGTCTGCATCTGGGACAGCTCCTGAAGGCATGGACCACAGGCTGACTCCTTCTGTTGTCAGCCTGGGGCCTCATTTTCCCTTTTCTGCCCCCTCAAGGCTTTTTGGGAAAGCCAGAAGCCTGGGCCAGATGGGACATTCGGGGGGAAGTTCTTTAAATTGTTGTGCACTGAAAAGTACCTTACTAAACATAAAGGCACCCAGACCAGGGAGAAGAAAGGGCCTGAACTCAGAGGCTTGCAGTTGCCACCTGCCCATCATGCCACTCCTGTGCCCTGTATCTTTGCCTTACTCTGGCTTGGCCATCACCGTGAGTTGGGCCCTCTGACAGGCAGACTTGCTCCATGAAAGCACTGGGACTCTCAGAGGCAGTAGAAAGAACTCCACTTGTGCAGCCACTCACACTAACTTTGAGTCTGGACTCTACCATGACTAGCTGGGTAACCAAGCAGGTGATTTACTCTCTCAGTGCCTCAGTTGTCTGATTTGTATAATGGAAATATGCCAGCATCGGGCCCAGAGCAGTGCCCCCAAGTTAGACATGGGTGACCGTGGGACCAAGGGTGGTGAGAGTATATTATCCTTCACCACTGCTGTCTTCATCTTCATTCCCTTTAAAGTCCACATGTCCTCTCCTATGGAGTTCTTTAACAGCCCCATTGACTTCCAGGACTGATAAAGATTATTGTGGGTTTTGCCCCTGACCATCCCAGGTGTTAACCTTATTTCCCAGACAGAAGTAGTGCCAACTTCACCTTTTCCTTCCTCAGGGCTCTCCCTGCCTCCCATCTCCAGGGCACCCACCCAGGAATCCAGAACACTAGGTTTAAGGAGTTGAGGTAACTGTTCCCTAGTGGACAATGTTTGGTTTCGGGCCTCTCCACTTTACAACCCATACGTCTTGTAAGATGTGAGAAAAGACAAAGGTTTCTTATGAACTCACCACTTCGAATATATGTTTCAGGAAATTGGCCTCTGCAACCAGAAGGTCCACCTTGGACTGTAGGTCTACTTTGTTTATATAAGCAGCATCCACATCCTGAACAGCAAGCAAAAACAGTCTGACTTTTTGCCCAGATGTTGCCTGCCACCACCTGGTTGGGTAGCCTGGGCAAGTGGCAGAGTTTCTCTGGGTATATTTCCTTGCCTACAAATGTCCTCACTCCACTCAAATAAGGGACCTGCAAACTCTGGCTTTCCTGTCCAGAAGGAAGTGTGACACCAAGCTCTTCATCTTGCTCAGTCACACACAACACCCTAGGTCCCTCCACAGGTCCCAGGGCCATACATAACTAACACTCAAGCTGTCAGTTCATTTAATTTCACTTTCTGGACTCTGGAGAGATTAAAAACCCAAGGATTTCTAAAGATCCATATTAGCATCACTTTCAGACTTGGCCCTTCAGTGTAAGGGCCCCAGCATTTGGGCAACAAGCTGAACCCCAAGGTCACCCTGTCCATCCTTTGGTCATACAGCATCCACAGGAATTCTTCACCCTGCTCAGCCTCCTGGGCCTTCAGTCCCCCCTCTGGGCACTCCCATCCCTCACCTTCTTTAGGATGACAAAGTCATTCTCATTGTTGGTCCTCCTGTTGATTTCTTCTTCGTATCTGTGGAGGGGGAGGTAAAAAACACAGACAGCCTGCAGGGGCTGATGGCTCCTTGAGGGTTCTCCTTGCAGGGAGAGGTTCGGAATTCCTTAAATTTGTACTGTCCTGGACTCTGACTTTCCCCTCCAGGGCCTGCAACTCTCACTGGCAAGCAGCTGGAGCCAGCCCCTGGCTCTCCAGGTTAACAAAGGGAACAATGACCTAAGGTGGAAAACCCAGAGCCACATAGAACACTCCCAGCATGTCCACATTTTATTTGTAAGCTTGTCAATCTCAATCATTTTTTAATTGGGAACTTAAAGTAACCAATTTTACTAAATTTTTAAAGAGAAAAAGATTTCACCTATGATTCTGACTCCCACCCCTGGCCCCCTTCAGTGGGAATGGGTTCATTTCTCCCTTTTCAATTCACACACACTTGATGCTCTATTGGCCCCATGCAGTAAGCATGTCACGGTGATGCTAAGAGCAGCACCCTGCACCCCAGCATGGGAGGGTAAGGCCTCTCAGTTATCTGCAGGGTGCAGGAGCAGCTGATGTAGAATTAGACAAGTCCTGTCACCCCTACCATTAGTATTAATAATAACTAATGCTAACTGCATACTCAGTAGGTGCAAGGACATCCTATGAACTTGTTAAGAATAACTTCATCCAAACTAGTAGATCTTAAAGTGTGGCCTCCAGTCTCTCAGCATCATCATCCCTTGGAAATATTAGGAATCAAACACTTCAGCCCCATTCCAGACCTACCTGATGGATCTGATTTTAACAAGCTGATGCACACTAAAGTTTGAGAGCCACTATCTATCCCTCACAACAATCTAACAAGGAGGGTACTTACTATCCCCACTTTACTAATGTGAAAACTACAGGTATGGATAGATGAGCTTGCAGGCAGCCAGGAAGTGGCAAAGCCCACACCAGAACTAAGGCTTATCGGGCTCCAACATCCATGGAGCTAGTCTTCCCCATCCCCACGCAATACAATTGAGGGCTGACTGGCAGTGCCAAGGCTACCATATGCAGCTGTGCAATGCAGAGCCTGTGTGGCTGTGCAGAGTGGCCCTGCTCCCACCCCTTCCACAGTAACACTGAAGCAGAATGTGTTGCCCCATGAATCATCTCCCTGCCGTGCTTCCCCCTGAGCGCTCTGCCCGCCTAGCGCCTCACTTGTTCTTGTAGGTCTCCACCTCATCCTGCATGTTCATGGCCTCCGAGTTCTTGCGCATCTGCTCTGCATTGAGGAAGTCCACCTGCCTCCGCAGCTCGCTGATGTAGTTCTCCAAGGCAGGCTCCAGGCTGAAGGGCTGAGTCGACGTGTTTAACTGCTGCAGCAGCTCCCATTTTGTTTGTAGCACCTGATTCTGCTGCTCCAGGAATCGCACCTAAAACAAGAGAGCTCCAAGTTCACCCCAGGTCGCGGGTGTGAGAAACACCCCCATGGAGAGGAGGCTGGGCAGACTCACAGCATGCCCAGAGCTCGGAGAATCAGGATGGCCCCTCCAGGGATAGAGAGCTTCCCTTTCTTTGGGACCAGGACACATGAGCACAGTGTGGTTGCTGATGGTTGGCCCATGGCTGTAAAACCAATGAGCCTAAAATGGACTATAAGCTAACTCTGGTGTTAAAGGTAAATCCCTCCAACTGAGCCCTTATTTCCTTTAACTACCTCCATTTACAGCAGTCACTGTCCCACTCAGTTGATCTGTACCAACACAAGGAAATAGTGATCTGGCACCTGAAACAATGGCACATCCCAGGAGCATTAATCTTTGTGGTTGACGCTTTAAGTGACTGAGAGAAAGGGAAAAAGAAGAGGGAAGGAAAAATTTGGTTTAGAATATTACCCGATTCCTAAGCCAACATGCCTAGGTGTCCCCACCACCTCCGCTATCTGCTGGTATGGTTTTCAGGAAGGTCACCTCATTGAAATGCTTTCATAACCCGGACAGAATGTACAAGTAAATGTTCTCATTTTTTTTCATGTTGTGAAATGCATTCCAGAGCCCCAAAGTCAGGACTTGGGGGCTGTCTAGTGTTTGGAAACCACCCAGATTGCTATTTCCTTCATTCACACAGAGAATCAAAAGTGGACATTGTCCAATACTCTCAGCACCTCTTCCCAAAACTGTGAACGGTAAGGCCAGGTATAGGGTCCAGAGAGCTGGCTGGCTGTACAGACCAAGTACATGGGCCATCCTTTGCATGATAACAATCAACCCTCACCTTAACTCAGCCTGCTGCCTACAGCTGGAGCCTCCCGTCCCATGTCCTAGGTGAAGACCATGGGTGCCACTATGCTTTGATCAGGTGAGCACACACACACTCTCTCTCCTGGATCCCATTGCTTGTGCTGTCAGAACCCTGAAGACCCCCCACACAATATTGCACTAAGGAGGGTGCCCAGCATCCCCCACCCGGAGGCTGCCCATCAGAGGGTCCAGCCCTTGTTAACCCTTTGGGTTCTGACTCTAGGCCGGAAAATGTGCACAGAGAACACTGTTTCTCGTGGCTCATTTATTTTTGACTTATGAAAGCAAAAGATAAGGCAAACTAGCTCTCACAGGTTTGTCAGCACAGCTCGAAACACGTGAGAAATTTCTGCCACCTGGCCTATTTTCACCCGGGCGGCACTCCCAGGGGGTGGAGAAATCTACTGAACACTTGTTCATAGCCCCATGTTGTATTGTGAGGACCAAAAGAAAGAATCCTGTGGTCCAACAGGGAATCTCCACATCAAACAACGAGGGTGCAGTCAGACAACCCTGAGTGCTTTGGGATTAGCCCGGGGCTCCCTGGGTCAAAGAAACTGTGGTTCTCGTTAGGCCACACAAACTGCAAAGGCAGAGGCTGACTTCAGGGAGTGCAATTTTAATGGAATTTAACTAGAAAAATCAATGAAAGCCATTGTGAATTTTCCCCAGGCTCCCCAAAACACTCCTGGCTGTGTCCCCCATCAGCAATACTGAGGGAAAGCTCAGCTAACACAGATAAAATTTAGCATCATGCTGAGCTAACCTTCTTACTGGAAAAAGCACATCCCACTCAACCTCTCATGCCCCTCTCCCTCCTGTTCATGGTACCCCAGCCACAGAGACCTCCTGGTGCCTCAGCAGCCCAGATCTCCCCAACTCTTTGCCTGGCTGACTCCTATTCACCCTTTAGGTCCCAACTAAAGTGGTCTCTCTCCTCTCTGCTTTCCCCCTCATCAGCCTGTTTCTCCCCCATGACATCTATCATGATCTGCAGTCTTTTGGCGTTGAGTTGACACGGCCCTCTCTGCTAGCCTTGAGTCCCAGGAAGGCAAGCCCAGGTTTGCTTTGTTCTCCAGTGGACACAGGTGCTGAGACCATGGACACACAGTGCCCAACACAGAGAAAACGGTTTATAAGTATCACAGGCTAATGAAATGCTAAGGACTTTGGAACTGCCTAGCATAGAAGATTCAAGGTCAGCTGAATAAAGAGAACTGGATTGCTCCCCCTTTTCTTCCTGAGGCCCCTTTCAGTCATTAGCAAAAAAAAACACAACAAACAAACAAAAAAACCCTTTGTCTCTATTCCTACTCTCTGATAGACAAGCCTGACACATGAAGGGCTGACTCCATTTTTCATTCAGCACAGATTTATTGAGCAATTATCATGTACCAGGCACTATTCTGGATTCTGGAGATTCAATAATAAACAAAACAGACAAAACCCCTGTTTTCTAGGAGTTTACATTCTATTCAGAGAGACAAGTGTAAAGAAATGCAAAATAAACAGTGTGCCAAATGACTGCAGGGACTACAGGGATGGTGGATAGGGATGCTGGGATGAGGGTGCTATTTTAAATAGGGAGATCAGGGAAGGCCTCACTGAAACAGTGGCATCTGAGCTAAAACCTGAAGGAGGTGAGGGTGGAGGTGGTGGAAAGAATTCCAAGCAGAGAAAATGGCAAGGGGAAAGGCCCTGAGGTAGGACCATGCTTGGGGCACTGGAGACTGCAAGAAGCAATAGTGTGCTGGTAAGCAAGAGGAAAGCTGGAGAAGAGGCAGGGAAGAGGGTCAGGGCCACTGCAGACAGTGAGTTTGCACCCTGGGAGCTAAATTCCAGGCCTCACTCTGTTACTAAACCTTGCAGCTTGAAAGCTATTCCATTTGGTGGTGGCAAAGTTGCCTAATTTTCACAAATGCAAGCCAGAGGTTAGCAGCAGCTATGGGTTGGAGGGCCAGATTATACAGGATCTTCTAGGATCTTGGCTTTTATTCTAAATGAGGTAAGAAGCCAATAGAGGATTTAAGTGGAGGGGTGGTGTGATATTTTTAAGAATAGGTCCCCTGTGGTGCTAAGAATATACTGGATTGCCCAGCTGGCATGGCTCAGTGGTTGAGTGTTAACCCATGAACCAGGAGGTCAGCATTTAATTCTGTCAGGGCACATGCCTGAGTTGAGGGCTCGATCCCCAGTGGGCAGGGTGCAGGAGGCAGCCAATCAATGATTCTCTCTCATCATTCATGTTTCTATCTCTTTCTCCCTCTCCCTTCTGCTCTAAAATAATTAAAATGTATTTTTTAAAAAAAGAATAGGCTGGAAAGGGTTAAGGGTAAAAGCAGGAAACTAGTGTCAGAAGTCACTGCAGTAGAAGCCTTCTCCCTTCCTGCCAGGTCAGAGCCTTCCTGGGTGAGAACTCTCTCTTCATGGTCATCATAGGCCATGCCCTTGGGGAAGAACAAGAAGCCATACTTTCCTGAATCTTGGCCTCTGGGCACAGTCCCACACTGCAAAACTAAACAGATGTCCTATTAATGGCAGGAACCACAATTAAATGAGTCTCAGGAGGTCAGCTGCCAGCAGCCCATGGTCATTTCATTGACCCTCTTCCCCAACCTGCTCTTGTTCCTGCCCCTCCCTTGGTCTAGCCTTGACCTCCCAGTAGTGTCTCCTTCACTTGTCACCTCCTTGCTCCAGTCAAGCGCTCCCAGTCCCTGCCTATGCCTGAGATATGATGATATTCAACCAAATTTCCCATCCAAGGTGATCAGAAGTAGCCAAAAGTACTTTGATGGCACTCTGTTGAGGCTATCTCTAGGCCTCAACACTCTTACCCCACCTCCCCTGGCTCACACACTCTGTCCCACCCCCAGCATTTACCCAGATATTAGAGGCCAGGTATGCAACCCAAAACTGGACCTTGGCCATGGCACTTCTGCTGTCAGATCACAGGTCAAGCTCTGGCCTCAACACAGAACTCCTGTGGGGACTGAAGGAAAGACCCTAAGAATCCAGAATCTTTTGTGCTCCAGGGTGCTTTCCACTACAACCACAAGGGCAAAAAACCTTCTGGGGATCCGACAGTAGCCACCATGCCTCCACCTCTAGACAAACGGAAATGCTGGAGCAAGGTGTTCCCCATGGGTTCAATCAGGAAACTGGGGAAGGGGAGGTCTTCAAAAGCTTCATCTGGCTCATTCTTGGCCCTTGATGGCCTAAAATGAGGAACTCAGACAGAATTCTATTTAGTATCCTGTTGACTTTAGCCCCCAGTGATACCTGCCAGGGCATTCACCTAGGCTCTGTCATGGCTCCTTGAGGACAAGGAGTCACGCTGTGGCACATTGTCTGGGATATAATAGATGCTTTGTAAATGTTTATGGGCTGGATGAATAGATGGATGAATGGATGGATGGATGGATGGATGCATGGATGGATGGATGTATAGTGAATAATCATGAATGGGAATGCGATTGCTATACCATGTATTTTGTCTATTGGGAATTTGCACACCTCTTATCTGCTTTTCTGCCAAAAAGAAAGATAGAGACAAATTCCCTCATTAAGTCAAACTGAGACCTAAATGAGGTACCTGCTTTCTTAAGGTCCCGGGGCATACACATCTGGAAGCGGTTGTCACCACCAAACCAAAACAGCACAATGAGGTGAGGGACAGCAGGGCACAAGGCCCTCTCAGTCATATGGTCGGGGCCCAGAGGCTCTGCCTGCCCCTGAGACACTCACCTTGTCAATGAAGGAGGCAAACTTGTTGTTGAGAACCTTGATCTGCTCCCGCTCCTGGGTCTTGACCCTATGAATTTCAGGGTCCACTTCCAGGTCAAGAGGCTGTAGCAGGCTCTGGTTAATGCTCACCGGTTGGATGCCCCCCAGGGGACAAGAGACACCAAAGCCCCCAAGCCTAAAATTGCTACCTCCAAAACCACCACCCCCAAAGCCACCACCTCCAGAGCCACGACCCCCAAAACCACCAAAAGCGCCACCTCCCAAACCACCACCTCCAGAGCCACCACCGCCAAAGGTCCTGGCTCCTGCAAATCCCCCGCCCACTCCCCCACCCTGGCGGAAACCACTGGAGCTTCTCTCCACTAGGTTAACCGAGATGCTTTTACTGCCACCCAGATTGTAGAGGCTCTGAGAGCCAAATCCCCCTCCATAGCTTCCATACCCACCACCACCGCCACACCTCCCTCGGGCCTGACACACAGAGCCCACAGCCAACCTGCCACCACCAGAGCCTGCAGAAGAACCAAGGCTGTAAACTCGCTTGCTCCTTGAGCTAAACGCCGACTGAGAGCTAAACTGGCGGCTCATGGTTGCTGGAGCATCCAGGCAAGCAGACAAGAGCAAAGGCCCAGCTGGAAGGAGGCAGAGACCAGGGTGGAAAGGAGTGTAACTCCTTTACAAGAGACCTGGCTCACTCTCTATATATACACACAGGCATGGACTGGGTGGGGCACTTTTCAAATCCTGGGAGGAGAATATTTATGTTCAGTTTGCCTGCCAGCACCATCTGTTTCAAACCTCATACCTATGAGTTGCAGAAATTGCTGTAGACAAACTTCCCCAACTTGATCATTTATCATTCATCTCTTGCCATTTGAGATCGGACTGCAGTAATCTCTCACGATCAAGTTGCTGGAAACTCCTCTACAAGTTTCCCCCAAATTATTAGTTCATGTCTTCCTAAGAAACTCCACCATTGAGATGTTTGTTTGGGGGGGGAGGGGTGCCAGGGAGATCTGAGGCAAAGCTAGGGCTTGTCTAGATGCCTAGGGACCAGAGCTGGAACAAGGGTGGAGTTATGATGGAACAAAATTTTTGTCCCTACCCCCTGCTTTTGCTTCCCATTGTTATCATCACCATGTACACCTCACATTTTAATCATATGAAAACATGGTAGTGTGGTCACTGAGTGCAAGTGAAAGCCAGGGGACCCTGTCCAGGACTGCCCACATTGTGCTGGATGCATTACTGCTTCTCTCTATACCTCAGGCTCCTCAAATACAAATAGATGAGATCCCGTAGCACTAAAGGCCTGTGATTGTAGATTTACTAAACATCTACCAGGATCTAATAGTGTCTTCTAGATCAAAAGACAAACTATCCCCAAATCTCTTTTTCTTTTCATTCCCAAAGCTTTTTTAAAACAGAACAAAAACAAACTATCTTTAAAAGGAGATTTTTTTTAAGTATACAAAATACAAGCCCCAATTTTTTATTTTAGATTCAACAGACATAAAGTTATTCTACTGTAAAAAGGAAAAAAATATTAAATTCCTAAATACTTATTCTCAAATTCTGTGTTTATCTCCTCTCAAACCAGTAACAAAGTTCCCCGGACCAGGGCTGGTGTGTGTCCCATCTTCTTGGAAGCACTAACCCAGACAGCAAGCAGAGGGTGAAGTTCATTCAAGAATCATGCGTTTCAGCCAGTGAAAATGTGTGCTTGTGCTTTGGACTCAAACAGATGGTAACTATCATCAGAAACTTAATCATGATGATGATAAATAACACATAATCTTTGGGGGGGGGGAGCCCTAAATGTCCACATTCAGAAAAACGATCGCTTGCTCACTTGGATACAATTATTTTAAATTATCATCCTGGAACTTGGGATGGTGAACACACAATATCAATTGTACACCTGAAACCTATATAATTTTTGTTAATTAATGTCACCCAAATAAATTCACTGAAAAAGAAAAAGTAAAGTATATTGAAAAATAAATACATAAGTAAAATAAAATCATCACCATGGAAACCATATAGCAGCATTGGAAATGCTTGTGATACAATGTTAAATAAAGCTAAATATACAATGAACTCATAAAAATTAATAATACAAATAAGCCAGGCTTTAAAAGTAAAATAGAAAGTAAATTGATTTATTAAAGATTATAGAAGGATTTTTTCCTAATATTTTAAATGTCCGTTGCCTTTATATTTGAGCAATAAGTAAATATTTTTGCAAAAGTTGGGGCTGAAATCACAGCTGCCAACAACTATGGAGATGGGAAAAGATGGGTGCGGAGAGAGAACAAGAGAGATGTGGGGGAGCAGTGGTGAGGAGAAGGCATCCTAGGGCTGGGAAGGGCTCTGTGGGCAGCCTCGAGCCTCCACACCTTCCTATCTGCTCAGTAACTGTTTAGTGGACCATCTCCAGGAGAGTGAACCTGAAATTTACTGTCACAAGAGCTGGTTTCAGCTACCAGCCCTACTTCTACCCACATGTGATCATGGGCAAGTCGCCTACTTCAGAGCCTCAGATAGTTAAAGAAATTAGAGCATCTATTTCTCAAGGAGTCAATGCTGTAAAGCATGTGAAAAAGCACAGAACACTAAACAATCATGAATACAGCTACATTTAGATCCTGGTAGGATGACCAACTGTCTCACTTTGCCTGAAATTTCAGTACTTAAACCAGGATAGTCAAGATAGTTGCTACTCAGTCCTGGCACCTCAGATCTGCACAGCCCTAGTCCTGACCCCAACCCTTTCAGGGAGCTTCTAGTAGGAGAGGGAAACTCCCAGGTACAGGAGACAAAAGGAGAAAACCAGTAAAGAGAGAGGAAGGGAAGGTAAGTAGAACGAGGGATTGGGATGGGCCCATGTAAGAGAGTTGCCTGAAGTCAAAGATTCTGAGCCAGGCAGAGTTGAGAGAAGAGGCAGAGCAAACAGAGGGTGATGAAAGATCCTTAGTTCAGCTTTGGAAACCTGGTTTGAATCCTGACTCTGCCCCTTCCTGACCCATTGGCTTAGACAGATGCTTAACTCCCTGAGCCTGAGTTGCCTGGCCGATAACATAAGGATAATAATACCAGCTTCACGTGGTGACTAGAATGAGTAGCTGAGATCAAATATGAAAGATAAATACAAAGGTCAGGCAAGTGAGGTTCCTTCCCCGTCCACCTCCCGCAGCTCTCCCTGAAGACTCTGTCTAGACCATGTGAGCACACCTCCCTCCCATCCGCTGCAACACTTTTTTGTATCACTCACTTTCAACCCCTGTCATGAAGAATACAAATAATCACCCCTTCACATATGTCTCTACTGCCAACTAAATAAATAGGAAGTTCACCCAGTTTTCTATTTGCTCTCATGCTAAATGTGGGGACTGATTAAATAGTGATAAAATAAAAGAAGAAGCCTCAGGCAGCAGAATTTAGAAAATCTCTTTGGTCTCTGACTGTGATCTGCTGCCACCATCCAATGCCAATTCTCCTGTCATCTGGGTGCCTGGGGAGGGGGGACTGCTTTCATTCCCTTAAGGGTTGAGGGGTGCCCAGCAAATTCTACCAACTGAGCCTTTGGTGTAGGGTGATAACTATTCCTTATCCCCCAAAGAGGTACTTAACCCAAGTCAATATTAGATAGTGGATGAGGTTTCTAGGACAAAATTCTATCCCTAAAGGAAACCCTTCTAGTGATTGGACAGCTCAGTGCAATGGTTTCTAACATGTAACACGTTGGAATCACCTAGCGAGCTTCAATACCACAGCTGCAAGGCCTACCCCTAGAGACTGGTCTGGGGCATAGTCTGAGCTTTGGGATTTTTGAAAGGTGGCAGATGATTTTAATGGGCAGACATGTTTGAACACTAGTGGCCTGGAGGAGGTAGAAGGATGAATGAAATGGCCTCTTGAGTTTCCATTGGGTCTGAGGACAAAAGAATAATAATTATCATCATAATAAAAGCTAGCCTCTTCTGAGTGCTTTCAGTGAGCTGTGCACTGCACTTGCTCTACACGAACAGTCTCATTCAATCTAAAAACCAGAATTATAAGGAAGGTATTCTTATTATTATCCTCATCTTACAAATGACTGAAAGAGACTTGGAAAAATAAAGTAATTTGTTGAAGAACACACAGATGCCCGGCCAGCATGGCTCAGTGGTTGATTATCGACCTATAAACCACGAAGTCACGGTTCAATTCCTGGTCAGGGCACATGCTGGGGTTGTGTGCTCAATCCCCAGTGGGGGGGTTGGGGGGGAGGGGGTTGTGTGCAGGAGGCAGCCAATCAAGATTCTCTCTCATCATTGATGTTTATATATATCTCTCTCTCTCTCCCTTCCTCTCTGAAATCAATAAAAATATATTATTAAAAAAAGAACACACAGATGAAAGTGGTGGAATGAGATCTGATCCCAGGCACCCCTCCTCTAGAACCCACGTGTATTACAGAAGAGGTGGGTCTATGGAGAGAGAGGTGACCCTTTTCTCCTCTCCACATCTCTCCCCACTTGCTCTCCTTTAAAAGAAAAGGGGAGGTCAATTGAGGGCTCCAGCTTGCCCTGCTTGTCTCCCAGGTCCTGAAACCAGAGCTGCCAAGAGGGTGAGGCCCAGGGCAGTTATCAGCCACCAGATCACAGTGGTGGGAGGCAGGGTTGGAGAGGAGTTGCTGGTGTGACTGGCAGGGTCAGCCCCTGCTCCCCATCTCACCCTGCATCACCCAGGTCTGGAGGAGGATATCAGTGGGCAGCACAGAAGTGTGGCAGGGGTGTGGGGCCGAGGCAGGGCCCCTTGGGCAGAGAACAAGAAGGAGAACAAGAATTTCATTCACCAGCCCCTGCCTGGGGAGGAGGGAAGAGCTGCAGCCCTGGTAGGTATGGGGGCCTTTAATCTCCTTGAAATGGGAGCTTTGGACCCCTGGGCATCAGAGGAAGGCAGTAATGTGACAGGGATCAGGGAGAGCAGCCTCCTAGAACTGAATGGAAGCTCCTAGCCCTGCTTCCCACACCTTTAGACCACTGTTCTCCCCACAGAAGAGTGTCAGACCTGGACAAGTGACAGAGACCATCTGCCTGACACCTTCATTTTATGAAAAGGAAATAAATAAGAGGAAAGGACGTGGCCAAGGTGGAGCAGCTAGGACTAGTTAGGTATCCTCCCTCCCAATCCAAAACACAGTGGGGCCTATGAAATGTTGGCCATAAATAGTAATGACCCTTATTGAGCTCTTACAATGTGGAACCTCTGTGCTCCTGCAGCTTGGGAGAGATGGTGTATGGGGAGCACCCCCTATAATTCCTAACATGCCCTGCCTGCAGGGTAGGAAGGTGCTGGGCACACAGGAACACCCTGGTAAATCCTTCTCATTTCTGGGATAGGGTGGGTGTTTGATGCAACAACTAAGCCTTTGAGCTCCTCCTCAGGCCCCAAACCAGCCAGGCCCACACCTTGGATATCCTTTTGACTAAAATTCTAGTATCCACCTGGAAACTAAGGATCAGACATTAAATCTAATAAGTGCTCTTGGGCGAGAAGGCCTCGCAAGGTGTCAGAGCAGCCCTGCATGTTCTCATGGCCAAGGTCCAGGGATAATATTGTTCCAGGTATATTAGGCTCTTCCATCCAACATACTGGAAGTCATGACTATTTATACAAACACTTATGGAGCAGGTAGCTTGCTCTAGTCTCTGAGGCAAGGGGAGCAGCTGCGCAGGTAAGGATCCAAAGGAAAATAAGACTGCAGGTAGACTTGGATTGAATTCCAAGAGAAAGTGCAAGGCCCCAGCAGGGGACAGGGGTCATCTTTTATCTTGGATCAAAAAGGAAGACAGGACAAATTCAAGGTTACAAGGCTATATGTGGGGGGGTGGGGACCAGAATTGGAAATTAATAGTGTGGGGAGGGGGATGTGGGAGAAATAAGACCTGTGAGAAATATTCAGATCAAGTCTCACCCTGCCCATGGTGGGAGAGATTCAAATGCTACACCTCCACTTTACAAATGAGGCATTAACAATTTATTATTACGCCCCCCATTTAAAGAATAGGTAGTTTCCTGAAATGTTGGCCATAAATAGTAATGACCCTTATTGAGCTCTTACAATCTGCCAGAAGTTAAACAGCTGACATCATTCAACTCACACAACCTCATTTTACTGATGAGATTTGGGGGTGGGGAGGTAAGACAGGTGGGGGCTGTCAAGCAGTTTGCTGACAATTGTACAGCTTGTAAGAGGCAGGCCGGAATTATACCCAGGCAGCCTTGTTCCAAAGCCATTTATACACTGTGTCACTTCCTGCTTTCTGAGGCAGTTTAGGGAGGCTTTGGAGTGAGGCTGCTGGAGTGTGAATCCTGGCTCTACCACTTACTAGTCGTGTGACCCTAAAGGTCATGGATCTCTCTGTGACTCAGTTGTAAAACGGAGGCAACTACACTGCCTACCTATGTTAAAATTAAAAGAGCTGATGAACAAAAAGCTGCTAGCACAGTGCCAGGCAAATCACAAGAGAGCATCAGTTTGAGTGACTATTATATTGCTGCACAATATATGCCAGTTTCCATTAACCAAACTGTATTTTTCACCCAACTTTCCTTAACAAATCAGTAAGTCATTGATTGTGAGCAGGAAAACATGGCCCTGTACGATACTGTAAGTCACACAAAAGATGCAGAAAGGCTTTTTCATAATCATCTACTCAAAAGAACACGGCAATGTCTTGATAAGTTTGAAACCAATCAAAAGCATCTCACTAGGCTAAAGGCCCTCCACTGCCCAAGGGGGATGTGTACAAAACAGTGGGTTTGCTTCTGATAGGCCAGGCTGTAGCCCCAATGCAGTACAGGCTGCAGCGTACAGCCCCAGGCTCGCCTCTCTCTGAATTAGACTATTCCAGCTAAGCTTTTCACTCTAGAGCAGGGGTGGGGAACATCCAGCAAGCGGGCCGTATAAGGCCCAAGAAATTTGGTCTGGCCCCACAAGGCATTGGGAGGCCGTATAAGGCCCAAGAAATCATTTGGTCTGGCGCCACAAGGCATTAGGAATGAGTCAATTAAATGTTTGACCAAATACAGTTGGCAAATTTTTAAAATAATTTTGTATGGCCTGAGAATGATGTTATAAATACACAAATAGCCACAAAAACAAAGTTTCCCCACCCCTGCTCTAGAACTAGAACATTCTCTGTGGAAGCTGCAATTGTATGTCGTGTTTTTCTAGGGGGTGAGCATTTGGCTATCTCTCAGCTATGTGTTTATGTGATCACCAGGTGTGTCCTCTCTGTTTATCTGACATCCTTTGTCAGTCTTTGATGCTAATGAGGGCCATGCTATGTAAAGAAGGTACTCATGCACGTACTCATATGTTCCTCCACCTTTTATTTTGCTTCCCCAATCTGTGTGTCCCTGGTTGAGAGGGGCCTCCTGGCCCTGCTCTGAACCCATGCTCTATCCAGTCCTTCTGGCTCTGCCTTGATTCTGTGCTGTGTCCCAGGTAGGGGTGGGAGTGACCCGTCATGGGCCATCCTAAGTTTCCTGTCAGCTCTCATAAATCTTCCTATTTGAAGGCACCATCCCACATCATATCAAACATATTCAAATATACCCTCTGCTAAAAACATTTTTGCTATAAAATGATTTTTGAATTTTTATCATTTCTTTTGAAAATATTTGCCTAGCAGCAACTCATTTTATTATGATTACTGAAGTTAATGGACAATTTTAGAAATACTTAGAATTACTAAAAAGCAAAAAAAATACAAAAAAAAACCCTACAACTTCTTTCAACTATAATGAAATGTTTATGAATTGAAAATCTTACCTATCAAGGAAGTTGAGCTATGCCATTCACAATGTCCAGGGGATGAAAAAGCCCTTCCCCTCCTGCCTGGGAACTCAGAACTTCCTCCCCCGGGTGCCATCCAGCCTCAGGCCAGAGCTGTGTATGATAGGGACTGGTGGTGGAGTCAGGCCCAATGACCTTGGGATCCAGAATGAAAATTCTACCACTGCGTTTGAAACACAATGCCATTTACTGAAGATATAGAACAGAGAATTCTTTTCTTGAAGCCAAGAAGGGGCAAGTAGTGCTAGTGGGAAATCAAAGCACAAGCAAAAGGTGGTAGCCAGGGAGACCTGAGGTTTTCCCATAAGTGAGTGGGGCATGTGGTTGGGTGGTGACAGGGCCAAGCTCCTGACTGTGTCGGGGTAGGTGGATTTCAACCTTTGGGTTGTGCCGAGCCTTCTGTGAAGGTGGGGTTCGGGGCCCAGGTCAGAAGGGTTGGGAAATGGGTCCCATGGGTCTGTGGAATAGCGCACAGAGCTGGGTGTGCAGGCAGGGAAGGGGACTGGAGGCCTGGAGACACCGTGGGCGCCACATTCAAAATTTGTGTGGGATCGCTGGCTCTGGGAGGAGTTTTGTGAGACCTTGACCAGACCCTGACCGAGTTGCTGCTGCTGCTGTACCAGCTGACAGCGCATGAGCCCCCGGAACTGGAGAAGCCACTGCTCCCCACGGAGCTTCCACCCTGCGGCTGACCCGGCCACTGTGGCCCCCACTGCCCAAGGCCCTGCTGCCCAGACTTCCTCGGTCCCCAGCTCCTCCTCCCAGGGTGCTGCTGCCTCCGCCACCTTGGTGTTGCGGACCACCTCTGCAAAGAGTATTTGAGTTCAGGGAACCCGTGGGAGGTCTGCCCAGGAGGGCCCATCCCCACCCATTCCGGGGAGCCTCCCCCCTCTGCTCCCTACCATCCCTGGGCACTGCCCACTGAGATTCCACAGAGGGTAGGTAGAGCAGGCCTCAAGAGGGGGAGGGAGGTTGGTCCTTTGGGACCCAGAGCCACTGAGTTACACTCTGGACACTACTCAACAGCTCCTCCCAGCTTGCAGGTGTCTGATCTAACACCAACAGTGACCCACATTATTCCACGAGGAGCAACTCCTTCCCAGAGAAAGAGCCCGGTACTCACAGAGGCTCACAGAACTCTGGCATTCCCAGACATCCTGATGGAAAACCAGACCTCAGGGTTAGCAATCTGCACCAGGTCCTCCCTCTCCCTAAATCACCTTGATTAGGTCAACAGCAGTGAAAGCCTTGGTCCCCAATTCTTTCCTACTTCACCTGAGCCCTGGCCAGGTGGCTCAGTTGGTTGGAGCTTCTTCCTACACCAAAAGGTTGCAGGTTCAATTCCAGTCACAGCACATGCCTCGGTTTCAGGTTCCATCCCATATCAGGGCATGTAGGGGAGGCAACCGATGGCTGTTTCTCACATCAATAAAAATCAATAAAAACATATCCTCAGGTGAGGACTAACAAAATAATAATAATAATTTTTAAAAAAGAAATACACTGGATAGGTGTTCAAATAATCATGACACATATCCCTCTTTCTGTTGGGTAAGGTTGGACTTACATGATTATTCTTTTCCCCTAACACTCCTCCAGAAGATTATTTCTGGGTCAACCCAACCTCTCCTCACTGGTCAGGATCCTCTTCATTCAACAAACATTACTTAAACCCACATGTGCCAGAGCCTATACTCAAGTGCCAGCCTACAGGAACCCACTCTTCAGAAACCTACAATCAAACCAATAATAAAGAAGTGGCCTGGTAATCACGAATAGGATGATCAGAGCTGGCATTTATCCTGATCAACAAGGAAGTGTCTTCATCAAGAGCATGGAGTTCAAGGCTGGGTTGTTAGTTCCTGAGACATGGCATTTTTCACAACAGCAATTCCATTGTCAAAGTCACTGCAGATTTGGTATCTCCAGAGCATGTTAAACAAGGACCTGGCTTACTCAGGAGTTCTGTTATCTGCTAGAGACCCACACCAACTGGGATGATGATGACAGATGAAGAGTGTCACCTGCTGCGCTGTGGAAGAGGCAGGTGCTGTCGGAAAGCCAGCAAGTCCAGTTTGGGCAACCCGCAGGGTCCTGGAGACACCTTTCCTCCCCCCAAGGGAAGTGACTCCTTGGAGGTGTTTGAATTCTTTAGGCAAAATTCCTGTGGACTTTGAGATTCACGTTACCTCCTCTTTCTTTTTGTTTTAACTGTGCCCGACTTTTGAGGGGACTCTGTCTAATGTGTATTTCTAGTGTTTGCAGTAACTATTTATAAAACGTGCATCCTTAAAACTGTGACTTCTCATCTAGTGTAGATCTTTCACTGACCTGTAAAAACAACCTCTCACCAACCCTGGAGCAATACCCGCAGCTATGCCTGGGCTACGTAGCTGGATAGTTCAGTCAGACTGCATTTATAACTATTGGTAATAACTCGGTCAGACTTCCTTGGATTGCATTTTGTCTCGTGTTTGTCTGAGTACCCTCCTCCTCTGCCCTTTAAGATTCAAAATAGCAATGAAGGAAAACAACAGCTAATGATGCAATTCTCAGAGTATTACAGAGGACTGGCATTATCTAGCATGAAGCAACTACTGTACAATTCTAGGGGTGAATCATCTTTATCAAATAAAGTTTTTTATTTCAATGAAAAAAAAAGAAGTGACCTGAGAATAATATTTATGCCTATGACTTCTCTTTGCAGACATGTTTTACAGCTAAAACATAAGGCATGAAGGTAGGGAAATCTATCCAAGATAAGATTCTGAAGGGGTCATTATTGCACAGAAAACAACTTTCCTGGATGTCTAGCAGCATCTTGAAGCCCTTACAATGAGGAGCTGGGCCTGCCAAGGGCTACCACCACCTCCAGCAGCACTCACATGCACACACACAGTGTCTGGCAGCAGGCTCAGGCAGGAAAGCCATCAGGTATCTGGGCCTCCTGGGAACCAGAGGGACTCCCACTAACCTGCACCCCTCATCCTCTAGTAGGGTTTGGTAGGTGGTAAGCTCAATGTCCAGGGCCAGCTTGACATTCATCAGATCCTGGCACTCACGTAAAAGCCAGGTCAGGTCCCCTGACTCAGTTCTGCCCCCAATCAGGAGCCCAAGCTTGTGGGGCAGATATGCAAGACCCAGGCATCTGGAAAAGGCCCCCTGTGTGGCCCCACAGAGGATCCCATGCTTGTTCCTCTCCAGAGCCCTGACTCGGAACAATTGACTCCAATTGGATCATGTTTGGGAAATGGCAGTTGAAAACAGAATGCTGAATAGGAGGAAGAGGCACAAATAGGACCCTCACCTGTCCAACCATGGTCCTCAGGAGAGTACTTTGCACTATTTCTCGAGCAGACAGAAGAGTTTGTGCTGCACCATCTCACTGCTTTCCTGTCAGGGTCGTGGGTTTGATTTTACAAGCTGAGGAGACACAGAGCTACGAACAACCATGACACTAAGCAGTTCATTGCTCATGACCTTTGCCGCCTCCCAGCCTGTAAATGAGGCCCTACTACGAAGCTACTCCTTCCTCCCCCTTTCTATCCCCCAGCCACCACTTCCTGAGCACCAATCTGTGCTGGGCATTGCACTGACCTCTCTGACTGGCTCTCCCTCTGTCCTAATGATCAGGAAGAGTCCTCTGACTTAAAACCCTTCTCCCCCTTTTCCTTACACCCCAAACCAACCATCATTTAGGAACCAGCTAGCAGCCCAGCCCTACCATGATGCTTATGTGACCATCCTGGCCCTTTGAGCTCTTCTGTCCTACAACTTCTGGGACACCCATTGCCTCTACCATGCCCATTAGTCAAATAGGAATGTCTTTCTTCACTTCAACCAGTGTGGAAACCCTTGGAGAGCAGGCCTCAGGCCTGGGACAGCCCTCCATGCATCAGCACCCAGCCTGCCTTGTAAACTTGGGAAATTCTTGGTTCCCCCAAAAAGCCAAGCCACAGCCTCACAAGCATAGGTGCCAACATTTAATCATATCTGACATTTGTGGAGTGTCAACTTTTTAAAACCCTTTCACTTGTCTAAGCCAACAAACAAATGGGAAAACACTCCACACAGAGACACACACCCTCTTATGACTCATAGGCAAAATACTTCACACAACCTGTGACCGCAAATGAAAATGACAAGAGCATTAAGCATGAACTGGTTTAAGATCTAGTGCAGCCAGAAGGTAGATGCTGCCCCAACCTAACCAATGACTGTTTTTTGCCAAAAGGCATGAAAAATAGAGCAGGGAGTGAGGGTCAACCACAGTGTTCAGAGAACTCAGGCAGGAGTGTTCAGCCCTTGTTTCTCCTGGGACTTCATTCTCCCAACGGACACAGCATGGACCACAATTTATTCAGTCATCTCTCCAAACATCCATGCAATCTTTTGTTAAGCACCAACTTGTGTCAGGCACCGGGCTAGCCAATAGAAACACGATAATACACAAGACAGAGTCCATGGTCTGGAGGAGCTCACAGTTGTTGGGAGGAGTTAGCCATGTGCACAACTTCTTACATCCCATTCAAGTCAGTGTTTTTGAGAGCAGATCAAACAAAGTCCTATGGTCATAAGAAGAAGAACAGCTATTGAAAGCATCATAAAGGAAGTAATTTTGAGTGGGGTTTTGAGAGATGAGTAGGAGTGGGCCCACTGGGTGGAGAGGAAAACACTTCAAATATGGATGAGGGGGTGGGTGTTTGTGAGAGATCCCACATGCCTGCAGACTAGGGGGCAAGGAAGAGGAGGACAGGTGATGGGAAAGGAACTGAAGGTGTAGGTTGAAACTGATTATGATGTTCTCTCTGTGCTATGCTGCAGAATTGGGACTCCATGTTAGCTGCACATCGGGACCACTGGGCAGCTTTTTTAAATTCTTGTATTATTATTATTCATTAATTATTGTAGTATTTTCTTTTTTATTGTTTACACTTGCAGACATCCCCCATTCTTCTCCCCTTTATCCACCTCCACCCAGGCCCTGCTCCTTCTCCTCTGGCCTTCATCACACTGTTATCTGTGTCCATGAGTTAAGCATATATATTTTGGAGGTAATCTCTTCACCATCTTTCATCCAGTACCCCACTCCCCTCCCCTCTGACCTCTGTTTCATGGATCCATGCCTCTGGTTCTATTTTGTTCATCAGTTTATTTTATTCATTAGATTTCACATAAAAGTGAGATAACATGGTATTTGTCTTTCTCTGACTGGCTTATTTTGCTTAGCATAATAATCTCCAGGTCCATCCATGCTGTTGCAACAGATAAGAGTTCTTTCTTTTTTTACAGCCTTGTAATATTCCATTCCAGTTAGTATTCCATGTGTAAATGTACCACAGCTTTTTTATCCACTCATCTACCAATGGGCACTTGGGCTGCTTCCAGATCTTGGTTATTGTAAACAATACCAGTATGAACATAGGGATACATATATTCTTTCTGATTGATGTGTTGGGATTCTTAGGCTATATTCCCAGATGAGGGACCACTGTGTCAAAAGGCAGTTCATTTTTAATTTTTTGAGGAAACTTCATATCCTCAAGGTCCACTCTTGACCTCCTGAATCAGAATGTTAGGGAATGTGGCCCAG